AAATGTTTCAGCATTTACAAACTGTGACTTTGCCAAACTGCTCCATATCAACTTACTTATTTTGGACTTGCTTGAGAGCGCCCTCTAGTGTTTGACAAACCCGGAAAACATTACAGAGTGGCGATTCCAGGGAACTCGTAATGAGGAGAATTAATCCCAAATGAATGGGTTAAGATGGTGCATTTGAGCAAAATCATAGTTTAGAAATGCTTAAACATATTTAATATAAAAGAATACATTCATTTCCTGAACACAGAACAGCATAAAACATTTTAACACCACTGTTAGATTTTTAAGAGCTTTTAAACTCCAGTTATGCAAGTGTAAAACGGCGCCTCATGTATGTTCATGACGTCAGTGAGCGCGAACAGCCAATGAGCTGCTCCACTCACCAACCAATCAGCACTCAGTAGCAGTAACGTTAGTGTCCTGCTCCCCAAAACCTGTTTGCTGTAGAAAAAAAGGAAACATACAGGGGGGTTTTCTTTGCTTTTTTAGTGAAATACAAACTTCTGCTTTCTAAAATTAAAGGAATGTTCTGGGCAAGTGGTTAGAAACTATTTTAACTTTTCAATTTACCCCCATTCATTGAGGACTCGATCGCAGACGCCCTCTGGCGTTTTGCTGTCATGTTTTTGGTATAATGGGGTAAACAGGAAGAGGCCCGGCACCTCATAAACCGGCTCTGGCGGCTCTGCTAACTACCAATACTCTGGTTGTACCCTTTTTACTGTGGGATTGTTTGAGTGCACTGGATCTTCTGCACTTTTCGGACACCACTATAAAACGGCGGAACCCATTATACACTATACACTATGCACTATATAGAGAATACACAGTCTGGAGCAAAGCTCTATTTTTCACAAACTAAAATATTGCACAAACGCGCCATAGATCCCCATTTATTTTGGACTTCCTCGAGCGCCCTCTAGCGTCTGACCAATCCAGAAGAGATTTCTGAGTCGCAGTTCTCCTCACTAGAAATGTCCTCGTTTAAAAAAATCATATTACTGTATTAAACAGGATTTAAAAACCATTATAAGTGTATTAATTACTGTAGTATGTACATTATAGCCGTATGTGGTGTTGGGACGCAGCCGTCTGTGCAGAGCAGCAGTAATGATAACAGTAACCCTCAGCAGCAATACGACCTTAGAGCGCCCCCTATCCGTCCACTAAGCGCAACGGCTGCAGCGGCAGCCCGGTCACTGGAAACGACACGAAACGGAGAGAACACGAAATGAGAAAGGCTGGAAACGTGTGAGTGCTGAGGATGCTGTGGATGGAGGCGATGAACAGGCCGTTTGTTTTCCTGGTCTCTGTATGGGGGTCAGGTGCGCTGACCGAGCGGCGAGTCCTGTACCACACACCGACACTGTGCTTTCCAGAAACGCGCATTAGAGCTGCCAGAAACGCTAATCTCGATCACACAGCCGCTCTGCTGCCTCTACCCGCCGTGTCGTGTCGCCTACCTCCCTCGCTGTGGATCTTCTTCGGTCGCCGGTGAAAATACATCCTCGCCGGGTTGGCGGAGGGCATTTGCCCGCACGAGCGCTCAGGAGGAACACGGCCGGGTAGAGGGCTCGAGCACCCGCGGCAGCTGCAGCATCATCGTCACCGCTGATGTCTGGAGATCTGGAGATTTGGTGGGTCAAAGCCTCGGGGACGCGCTCCGCTCTGCCTTTTTTTCTCCGAACAGTCCGTGCGCGCTCCCGACGCGAGTCCTCCACTGACGTTACGTCAATGTAAGCCCCGCCCACCGGCACTGAGGCTGAGCTTCACAGCAGAGCGGGATTAAAACCCACCGCACTCAGTGCCAATTAGTATCATGACGAACTAGTCTTAGTGTTGCTGTGTTAATCCAGGGGCAGCTGCACAGTTTAGTGTTTATTATTATAGTTAATAATATTATTACAACACTGTCATTAATAAATATTACATTTCATTACAGCAAAACATACATACACTCATACATTTTATTGCTAATTAATCGTTATTGCTATTTATGTTTACTACTTAATAATTTACCACATATTTCCTTTCATTTTTTCTAGCTTTTTTTGTTATTATACACTCTTCAAAAACCATGAGTTCTATATAGAACCATTTTATGCTTAAATGGTTCTGTGCATGGTGAAATGGTTCTTCAAATTGATGGAGAATGTGTTGTATATGGTTCTATATAGCACCAAAAAGGGTTCTACCATTACGAAGAACCCCCTTTCTAAATTCTATAATTTATCACAATTATTTCCTGTCTTCTGTAAAAAGCTGTATTACATGTATGAAAGGCGCTATACGAATAATGGTTGTTATCATTATTAGTTTAATTATGACCAAAACAATATCTGATTGTGTTATGCTAGATGGATTAAAACCTATTATAACAGTGTAATAATTATTATTAAATTCAGGTTAAAATGACTTTGTTAGACCAATCCAGGTGCTGGATTAAAACCCTTCAACTGGACATTTTATACACTGCATATGTCACACCTACTAAACCTTGTAACTGAGTGAATTCAGTATTTGATGAGGAAAATCACTAGACTGTGCTGGACTGCAGCCCTCCAGGAACAGAATGAATGACCCCTGACGTAGCGCATAACTCAAACACTGTAGCACAGCTGCAGCTGCATTCTCGGACAGCTGTAGCTCTACAGGGTTTGGTGTTTTTCCAGCTCCAACACACCTGATTCAACTCATCAGCTCATTATAAAGCCAATTCTGTATATTTGTTTACTGTAGTTTTCTATTTTATTCCATTCTAGGTTTTCAGTTTTTGCCCTTTTATTGTTCCTTCAAATTTGCTTGTTTGATTTGAACATGATCTGCATTTCTCTCTAGGAAAAATGCTATTCTATTAAATTTCTTTCTCTTACCCCAGATGTAGTCACCCAGCTGGGGCATGTTTGGTGTCCCAATTTTGTTTCTTTAGTTTAGCATTGGAGCTACAAGGCTAACATTGCTGACAAACACTAGAAGCCGATAGTCACCCAAATCTTTTTTCGTAAGTGCTTCCCCGAAACTTTTCTCAACCTGCTCAAACCACACTTAGCTCTTAATTAAGGTGGCACTGACTTGTTGATGTGGTTTAGCACACAGTATGACTTACAACTCTAGACAACAGGTGTTCACAGTAAGTCATACTGTGCCCTAAACCACATCGACAAGTCTGTACAACCTTAAACATCTGGAAGTGGTTTGAGTGGGTTGAGAGAAGTTTTGGGGATGTATTTGTGAAAAAAAAAAAAAAGATTTTGACTATTGACTTCTAGTGTCTGTTAGCAACATTAGCTATGTTGCTCCAGCACTAAAGAAGCAAAGTTTATACAGTTATAGTTAAATTAGATACAATTCAGTAGTGTTTTGATTCAATAAATACAAAAAGAATAAGGAGTGTAAAGTGTGTACAACCTATAATTTGACTGATCAACTCAGATTGGTCCCTTACAGAAACGTCACATATTTTTCACATATGAAGTGTGCAAAAACCACACTTTTAAACATGTTAACACACATTTTCACTCTCCTACCCCAACAACAACCTATGGGACAGCGGTTACACCTGAATTCTACACAAATCTACACCAGTCATATCACCAAAATGCATTTCAGCTGCAGTTCAACCAATATAAACACTTAATGTTATCTCAGCAGCTCAGACACTGAGCCCAGGTCTTAATGAACTTGCAGCAAAGAAAGGATGCCAGGGGTCTAGTTCAAGCAAATAGGCAGGTTTTAAAGACTGAACACCTGGGGACATTTAAATATTGAATATCTCAAAAGAATATGCAATATTTCGAGGTCTGCTACAAGTGTCTGTATTTTACCGTTGAGGTTTTTGCATATTTTGAATAAACGTTAGCCAGTTTTGGTTATAGCACAACATTAATTAAAAATTAAATAAAAATATTTTTTTCTCTGGCCGACAGATTTGTTGAGATTTTTAAATATGGCCCTTTTACTGGTTGAGTTTCACACCCCGGCCATACTCTTTTAGTAAAAGTATTGCTACTTCAGTAAAATAATGAACATAAACATTGAAAATAAGGAATAAAAGTACTTCTCCAAAAACAACTTAAAAATGTTTTTTGCTTTTTTCCTGGTGCTAAAACATAATACAAATGTGTGTGTATATATATATATATTGTATAATATATATGTATATATATATATATATATATACACAAATATATATATATATATATACATACACACACACACACATACATGTCAGTTTATGAGACTTCTGCCCTGCTAGATCTGCCCTGGCCAACTGTAAGTGTAGCTATTATTGTAAAATTGAAGCATCTACAAGCAACAACAGCTTTCAGAATTTAGAACAGGGCCGCTGCGCGCTGAAACGCACAGCACGTAAAAATCACCTATCTTTTTGTTACATCATTCACTACAAAGTTCTAGATTGCCTCTGGAAGCAACACTTGGAAGCAAGCAAGACTGATAGCCTAACAGTAAGAGGGGATCGAGCAACTGGCAAGTTACAGGTTCATTACCAGGACTGGTTGTGCCCTAAACATTTTTATATAGAAAAACATGCCCCAAGGCACTTAACCCCCACCTCAGGGTTTCAGCCTCTTAGTTACAGTGAAGGGTAACGTGAAAGCTGTTAAAGCTATAGCATACAAATTATATGCTTTTTACTTTTTGGCAACAGTTTGGGAAGGCCCTTTCCTGTTCCAGCATCAATGTGTCCCTGTGCACAAAGCAGATAAACTCATAAGTGTGATGGTCAGGTGTCCACAAACTTTTGGCAATATAATATGTATGTATGTATAAAACACACATACCATAACTAAATTTTATTTATATTATTATCTCTTATTTAACGAGGTACCCCAGCAGAATAGGCTGTTCAAACTGAAAACATGTCTGACTGTCTTCAGTCTAACCATATAAGGGATGGGAGCCAGCACTGTGCAAACACTGAAGCTCAAAGGCAGCACCAACTCTGGACAAGAACGACCATACCACACTCATACAGGCATAACAAACCTTGCATTTAATTTCATTGTTAAGGAGCAGAGAAGAAAACCAATTTGCTTATTTTATTACATAGTAACAGAATACATATTCTTCTTAACTGTTTTAGCATCACATTAGAACATAATACATAGTCATATTTCAATGTTGTCATTTCTTATCTCATTAAATAGGAACTAAATAATTCATTCTGGACTTAATGACCGAAGACCCCTCACACTCTCTGATGGACATTCAGATGAATGACTCATTGAAGACCACTCTGCCACACTCTCACACAAACACACACTCTTTGAAGCATACACACAGAACGCACACATAGGCCAGCACACACACACACACACACACACACACACTAAACATAAGGATATTCCACTACATCTGGAAATAAAATGTTAAGAAAACTTCACTGACTTTTCCTAATGTTTCCTTTAAATAGAGACACTGAAGTCTAACTGAAACTGCAAGGTTTTGTGGTTGAAAAGCGTACCGATTAAACTCTTCAGGAAGAAATGAAGCACTGCATTAAAGGGGAATGTCACTGATTTTTGAAGTTTCTGCATAATTAAATGGTTAAGATGTAAACAAAGCCATTCAGAGTGGTCAGATGTGAAACACTCCATTCTCGAGAAACTAACCAAGTCAGAATTGTTCACAGTGGTGATGATAGGAACCAGACGCTCACAGCGCTTCTTTAACTTATGCAGAATGTTATTACACAAAGTAGTTATGAATATGTAGGTTGACACCTGGGACATAGTTTTGTTATACGCTTTTGGCCTAAAATACATGCATGGAAGAGTGTTACATGCAGGGTGTTGTAAGGCAGAACAGCTCCCAAAGGAAAAATAACTTTATAACTATATTACCATTATCAACATAACTCCCAGGCATGTGTAGGTCCACTGGTCAGTTTCAATAGCCAGAAAATGGCTGTACTTACTTGGAGCATGACCCCTGGTTCCTATCACCACCATTGTAAAGAAATCCAAGTCTGCAAGTTCTCTAAAATGAACCATTTCAACCAAACTTCTCTGAGTGACTTTGTACATGTCTACATTTGAATTAGGCAGCAATTTTGACAAAATCAGCAGAATTCCCCTTTAACATTTTCCCATTTGGTTGCTCAGTGTATGCCTCTAGGGGTGACCAAGCAGCACTGCATGTATATTAGCCTCATCATGCAGAGGAGATTCTTCTAGGATAAGAATACAGAAGCATTGTTGACAATCTTCATTCTGCCACTCAAACTCAAATGCCTTTCTTGCTGTTTTAGTTTTACATCCACTAAAATTTCAATTCACATTTTTCACCTTCATTAGGAATAAAAGGTTTGAAATCAACATTGAGTGCTGCACTCTGTTAAAGGAGTACTCCAGGATTTTTTAAACCTGTTCTGTTCTTTCTTTGCCATAGCATACAGTTATTTACATGAACGATAATGTCTCTGTACTTAGAAAGAAACAGAAAAACTATAGAAGCTAATGGGCAGGAGCTGTGTGGAAGATGGAGATGGATCTGTTCACAAACATTACCGTGGTATACGGTATTAATGGGCCGGGAGGATGTTAAGTAGGTAAAAGTGTCAAAAGTGACATAAAAGCATATCGCTTTTGTGCCATCATTTCCTGTGTTATTTCAAAATTGAAAATAATCAAAAAGTTTAGTTTGCTTACATCACCAAATAAGTGAATGCAGTGCATGATTTTCAAGCCATCATTCAATAAATGTCAAGCCATCTATCTTAACAACTGTTAAATGTCAAACAGTGCTGCTAAAGAGGAAAGAGGAGCTGGCTAGCATTAGCTTAGCTGGCATGATAACATCGCTGCTCACCACAGAGCATGTTCAATTCTGGCGAAATGAAGCACCGACACAAGTTTAGATGATAACGATTTAAATTTGAGAGAGTAAAGTTGAGCAACTGGCGCTGAAGGGTCAGAAAGGCAAAATTAAACACCACTGAACAAGTTTAATTTTGCCTTTCTGTCCCTTCAGCACCAGTTGCTCAACTTTGCTGAATTTTACTGAAGTGATGTTAGCTTAGCGAGGAGGTTACAGACCCACACACCAGGTGTGGTTCAAAGAACCAGAACAGGTTCAATTATGACTAGGTGGTGCTCTGCTGAAAAAAGTGTAGATGATACTCTGAGAGAGCAAAATCGAGTGACTGGTGTTGGAATGACCGAAAGCTGAAATCAAACCTGTTCTGTGGCGACTGAGAAGCTAACAAGTCATATGCGCCACACACCACAGCACAGGCTTAAATGCTAAAAATGACACCTGTTTAGAGAATATCTAAAAGCACAGAACTGAGTGACCAGCGTTGGGAGTGAAAGCTGAAATTGTGCGTGTCCTGTGGTGTGTAGCTCTTAGCTGTTGCTGAGCGGCTAACATGATTCGTTTCCTAATGTCTTCCTGGCTCTGATTTTTTCCCCTCTTTTTAGCAGTGCCACTTATCAGTGAGCTCCCACCCCACCGATCAGTGACCACTCTAAAATATAAATGTGTGGAATCGAAATCTGACATCACAATTTTGAAATACTAGCATTTTTAAAATACCGCAGTATACCTTATACCTAACCCTGGAGTAGACCTTTAAGGTGTCTTTCAGTTTTAAAAAATGAATGGTTAAAAGGGGGTACAGTTCTCATTGTATATGGTCATTAAATTCCAAGTGATCTGCAGAAATGAAGCAAATAAATAAACATATGAAATGGCCCAATATGAACAAATAAAAAAAGGCTTGGAAGACAAGGCCTTCAGACTGGAAAAACTACACCGAAAACACCTCAAAATGCAGACAGCAAGTGCTGGGCAAGGAGCTAAACCACCTGATATCCAGAGAGCATAATACATACTGGATACACCAGTAAAAAGAGAAAAAACAACCAAAGGGGTTGTAAAATGAAATATCTTCACTAATAAAATCATTCAATACCCTTCAATTCCTTTCCAAACCATTGCACAACCTGTTTAGAGATTTGGCCTATGATAGGCCGACACCATTACCCTATAGGGCTGCTCCTACAAGTGCTTCAGAAAAAAAACAACAACAAAAAATAGACTAATTGATTATCACTCACCATTAAAATATTGTGACCTGTGTTGTGGGTGTTACAGCACTTCGTGTTCATATGCAGGAAAAAAAAAGACAAATCAAGCATGCACTCAATGGGCCCGACAATACAACAGTTAAATATTCTGATCTGCAGATGTGAACCACTTCTTCGCACCAGAAACGGTACAGAAATGTAAATAACATTCAAATTGAGTCCAGTATAAGCCTATTTCATCATTATATGCATGTAGTGTTTGTTAGGTGGCTCATTACTATTTCAAATGATCATTTTTAAAAACCCATGAATTCACATAAAAGACTGCAATGGCTAAAAACTTATACAACCAAATTAGAGCAGAGATCAATCATCGGGTTAACTGGCACACTCCGATTGAAAACGCGCTAAAAGAGCGTTAAAATGGAAGATTCTGCCATAAGAGCTTTCAAAACGAAGGATTCAGCTGCAAGCGCTTAAAACTAAAGGCTGTTAAAACAAATTTACAGAGGAGCTTAAGTATCTTTCTAAACGTCAAACCTCAAAAAACACAGGCATTCGTATATTTACATGTCCTCTTGAGTCTTGAGTTTAGAGGTCGATCTGTAAAATCCATCCTTTTTATGAAGCCACAGAAATCAAAATGAAAAGTGAGACTGATTAGCTCTTGCTAACACTGATTCATCACAGTTAAACGTCTTGTTAATGTGACCCTGAAGCACAATGGGGGAGGTCACAGAGAGGAGACCATGTGGACTGAAAAGAAAAAAAAAAAAGCTGAGAACAAAACAAAAAAAAGTCTAAAAAAATAAAGCTTTGTTAATTCTCTGTGTTGTTTCTTTTTTCCTTTTTTTGGTTCTACCTTCAGCTGAATACAGTGGGTCTCAATGAATGAAAACATTGATTGAAGCGCTATGTACAGGTGCCACCAATGATGGAAATTTTCAGTCAGTCAGTCAGTCAATGGGCCGGTGGGGGTTACTGTGAAGGGGCGGGGTCTGAAGGCATCCCGTTGTCAGTCCTGATGTCCGGACAGAATGGGCTGCCTGCAGATGGGACAGGTGTTGTTCTCTGAGAGCCAGCGGTCGATGCAGTGGATGTGGAACTCGTGGGCGCAGGGCAAGCTGCGCAGCTTGTTGCCCTGGGCGTACTCATTGATGCAGACGCTGCAGGCCCGCCCCTGCTCGCCCTCCAGGCTGGCCTGGCCGTAGGTGCGCGTGGCCAGATTGTCGATTTGCTCTTTGGTGAGGCCTCGTGGGTGCTCATCGTCCTCCTCGTCGTTCAGCAGGAAGAAGTGAGCCAGCCTCAGGATAGGCAGCGTGCCATTTTCTACCAGGTTGTTGGTGTCTCGGCCGCTGGGGCGAACGTCTGGACCATTTGATCTCTGTCCTGCCTCTCCTGGAGCTCCACTCTCTCTTTCTGACTCTGCCCCGTGATGGCCTGGCACTCCTTCACTCCCTTGGGCACGTAGGCTCTGGGTTCCAGGGGTGTGGCCTCCATTCTGGCTGGGGGTGGAGCTCGAATCTGCTTCGGTCTCCATGAGTGAGCTGAGCTCCCCGAAGCCAGTCATGATCTGTCTCAGGATGGAGCGCAGTGCAGTGGAGCTGGGCTCCCCCAAGCCCGTCTCAGAAATGCGCCGCAGAGGGATGCGGATGGTGCTGACGTAAGTGCGAATGCCAGCCCGCTCTGAGCGGGATATGGTGCGCCGGAAGCCACCACTGTCGCTCTCGAAGGTAACCGTGTTCTCTGCTGCACGGGCTCGCGAGCGAGTGCGGCTGGCTATGCTATCCCGATCTCTGTTCTCTCCGGGTCGGATGCGTCGCACCTGCAGGTCCAGCATGATGGTGGGGTGGCGTCTGGCCCCACTTCCTGCTCCGGCTCCTCCCTACTGCTCCACCTTGAGCGGTCGCCTCGCCCTCCTCTGAAGCCTGGGTGTCTGGAACAGGGTCCACAGGGGCCGTTGTCGTTTCTTCGGCTGCCTCGCCCGTCTCCATGGCAACCGTCGTACTTTCGCCGGATTCTAGTGCACCAGGTGTCTCGCCGCTGGGAGTGGGGCTAGGACTGGGGGCGGGGTTTCTGTCCAGAGGGGAGCGGCTACGGCGAGAGGAGCGTGGAAGGGCGCTGGACCCAGTTGTCCGGCGCACACGGCCACGTGAACGAGTCCTACTTGTACGACTAGTCACTGCCCCTTGCAGGGCAGACTGAGACACAGTGTCCGGACAATCTGGGAGCTCATTAGAATCCTGTCCCTCACTGTTAATAGGTGAGGGAGCTGGGGCCTGTGCTTGACCCAAAACATTACCACCATTACCACTGTCCTGGCTTTGGGACTGAGAAGTGGGTGGGGCTTGGGGAGGAGGTGGAGGGGCTGGCTGAGGGAGCGTGAGGTTCCTTCGTAAAGCTGTATACGGAGTCTGGGACATAAGAGGAGGTGTTATGGGCGGAGTTGTGCTGCTGCGAGTGCGCCGTGCCTGAGCCCTCCTCCCCAGTGTGGGCCGGACTGTAGAATAAGGGGCAGGGTGGTGGGTCGAATATGGCACTGGCCTCTGGGGCACACGTATAGATGCAGAAGCCCGTGGCGGTGGGGGCACAGGAAGATCGGCAGGGTCAGGCGTGTCGCTGTGCTCTCCCGGCTCAGGCTGCTCGTGATTGATGTTGATTTCCAGGCTGAAACGGAACTCTCCGCTGTTGGGGTTTGTGCGACTGACGGCGCGCCACGTCTGGTTGCCACTCTGACCGCTGCGGGTAGCATTGCCCGTGCGACGGAACGTGTTCAACCACTCTAGTAGAGAGTCGCCATTAGTGCTCTCCGCACCTGGTTCAGCAGCTCCTGCAACAATAATGGTACACAATATTTTTGCCCTGTTTATTGAGATGTAAAGCCAGTTAGGGCTGCATCTAACAATTACTTCGATAAAGCCATCACAGTACAGCCATCTTTTAAACAAATTTATGGTGATTTAGGATATAAGGACACAACAGAAGCTATGTTGGCCCTTTACTTCCTGCAGTGTATTGCAAACTGTGCATATCATATGAACATTATAAAGCGCTTTTGTGTAAACAATGTGTTAATATTGTTGACCAATAAATGCACCCTAAACTTCACACCAGCAAAGTTTGTTGAATCACCATCTATAGTGGTTCTAAGACAAGCATTCTGTATAAACCCCAGCTGCTCTTTCTAGTTTTCCAGAGACTTTTCTAAGAACTCTGTGTTCAATTATTAAATTCACTGAACCTCAGCGGCTTGCTTAAGCAGCTTTTATGAATCCTGCCCCTTCAATCCCTTACAGAAACAGCCTTGGGCACATGATAAAACCCTGCACCCTAAAGCCTGACCTATCCACCTTCTGAGCCCCCTAACTCACCACTGCTGCCCTCCTGTCCCGTCTCACTGTTCTGTGGGCGTGTTTCAGGATGCGGCTGGGAAGACACGCGTTCCTTCGCTCCGTCCAGTCGCTGTCTCAACTCCTCAGCTGTCACTTCACCTACAAATAAGGGAATACAAGCCAGTATCCAGATTTTAACCAGTGTAGCTTAATCTTTTTGGAATGAGGAGCATTAGTTATCTATAACCATGTAATGGGAAGTCTTGCTGAATCATGACTGTGTGACCAGCAAGGCGTTTTCCAGTGATCTCTGCGCCAGAGCGTGCGTATATGAAATTACCAGGTGTGCCGAGGAGGTTGCTGTCTCTCATCAGCCGATATTCCTCCTCGCTCAGCTCATTAATGAAGTGATAGTACGCCTCCTCCCGCCGAAGACGCTCTGCCTGACGGCGACGCTCATCTCGCCCGCCGGGAGGGTCCATCGCCATGGAAACCGCTGTTTTCAGGAGTCCCACAAACAGAAGGGCACAGTGTTAGTGCTGCAAAATATGTGCACTTACCTGTCCATGACTGTAAATGAAAAAGCCTCAAGACAATCCTGGAGTGTTACTTGAGGTGCAAAATAAACACCAATATGTGAATGAACTGCAAAATGGCCACTAATCAAAGAAAGAAGGCAGAAATCACACTCAATCGCCAGCTTTACAAATTTAAATGGAAAACAAACTGATGAGTGCATTTTAAGATCAATCAGGCGACTAAAAAACAGGAAGAGAGGCAGTCTGTGAATGACATCCTTTGACAAGTGCTAAGGATCCTTCAGGCTCAACGTGCAGGCCTTGGAAAAGGCTAGAAGCATGCAGATGAGACAGCATAATTCAAAATGGACATACAACTAATGCAAAAAGAGTGTCACATTTATTAAGGCATCGTGTCTCAAATGGTTACCACTGGAAAGGGGCTGCACCACAAAATGTACGCCAAAATGTCAATCCGTTTGGCCCCGATATAAATAATAAGTCATTAGAGCTTAATTTGCCGCAAAACCGATACAGTCTTGGCTGCAGTGACATAAAAAATAACGACAAAGTATATAAATCGTTCTCCTTTTTAAACCAACACTGTTGTCCACATATAATCTAGCACACAGTAGGCCACGGCGAAGAATGCAAAGCAAGCGGAGCAACACGCTGACGTCGCCAGGGCTGGAACCAATCAACGAGCCAGCAGCGATGACTGACAGTTCGACCCTCCAATCACGGCGAGCCGAAGGCGGGCCATGACAAAGAAAAGTCGGGCTCCGTGTGAGCGTTTCTAACTGAGACACAATGAAGAAGCGCCTACTTCTCGTTAAAACTGCGTTAAAATTACATTGTACACCCAACAATAAAATGTCACCACACTATCGTAGGCCGAGCGCAGACGAGGCCAAAAAACGAGCTGTCATTTTGTCTGCGCAATGCGTTTTGTTGGTGTCGACAGCTAGCCGCCGTGCTAACCGACGGCTAACGAAAAAGCGGTTTTGACAACCGTTTCGCCTACAAACGGACCTCGGCACATAAACACAGCCAGACATATTAACAACACCAAAGCTGTTTTCAGCGAGAACAGGCAGGGATGACAAAGACAAACCGATCATTTTAGTACCTGAAACAGCAGCTGTAATATGGACGAGTCCTCTTTTCCTCTTCGCTCTGATTACAATGTAGCTAAGATGGGACCAAGGGAGCCACACAAACTCACGTCCGGCCGGCTACCTATCGCAACGACAACACACGTTCCGCTTGACAGCGCGCCCCCGTTGCATCATCTTTTAATCAATATTCTTCATCATTTATCTGCCAAATGTTGACATTCTAATAAAAAATCCTCCTTTTAAAGCTTTACAAAATTTTACTGAGAATAGCATGCATTATTAAATGCCTTGAAAAACAAAATACGTACAACTTATTATTTAACTTGCACCTCTCCCACTTTCCATTCACTTTTCAGCATTTTTTGTCCTTTTTATTCGTTTAAGCTGATAAATGTGAAATTGGGACAAGTGTGCGTATTCATAGCCAGACAAAGGCCGTTCAGTGTTTTCTGTTAAGGATGTCCGTTTGAGGGTATGTGGGGTGTAAGCTTCACACAGAAAGTGCACTCAATTACTTAAGAAAGGAAGGGAAAGTTCAGAAACGAGTATTTTTCTTTCCAAATGTTCGTTTTGTGAAGAGTTAACATCCACGTGGTGCCTCCACAAAGCCCCAGTCTTTTCATTAGCGATGAGAGGTTCGATTCGGTTTACCGAGTCGATTCTTACTATCTGTTCGTTTCAATGAATCGAACGTCTGATTGAACGATTCATTGGCTCACAACTTCATTTTCATCCCAATTACCAAGCCACTGGATTATTCGAGTGAATCTGATAAATACTATCACTCACTATAAAGAGCAAATATGTAACAGAAACAGGAAGTTGGCTGTAGTCTAAATGTGAATTAAAATAAGTTGATCTTTACAGGTTATAATGTGATATTTTACGTTATGATACTATGAGGATAAATTGTGAAAAGGCATTAATAGAACTGTACAAGTTGTCAGCCTACAGCACACAAACACATACTGCGTAGACGCTACAGAAAAACACCGATTCACTTGGGAATCGTTCGTTGAAATCAGCCAGTCGAAAGAATCGATTCGCTCACGAGTCGGATATCGCTGGGTTTCATCCGAGCGACGTTTTTGCGACACTGCCGTACGCGGAGCCAGCTCTCCCGAGTGAGATACCGGTTGCGAGAGAAAATATAAACGAAATAATTTCGGCAGGAGAGCAACATATGGTGGTTTTGCGCACCAAGACACGTTAAAAACACGTTATTCCCCCCATATACTCGCTGCCGGAGGTAAATGTGGCGGGTGAGCTGAGCTGAAAGCGACGCGAGGGAAGGCAACTGATTGTGTGAGCGGCGCTGGAAGTAAGTTGCCTCCCTGGCGGCGCTTTAAAAGAGGAGAGGAAAAAACACACACGCTCAAACCCAGCTCAGAAACGCCCGAGAAAATGGACTATGACTTCAAAGTTAAGCTGACCGGAGAGAGAGAGCGTGTGGAGGACCTGTTCGAGTATGAGGGATGCAAAGTGGGGCGAGGGACGTACGGTCATGTGTACAAAGCGAAGAGGAAAGACGGGTGAGTTTCACCACTCGGTGGCAAAACGAGCCGAGGCCTTCATGCCCTGTTTGGTTTGTCTCCAAAAATACAATGTCACTACCATCTCTGACGAGCTGTTACTTCGTCGGTTTTCGTGGTATGTGGTTCTCCTGCAAAAAGGCTTTTCTCAGTGTAATCTAGCAGTGAAATGTGTCTTGTGTCAGTGGTGTAACTGGTGGTGCTGCCACTGAGCCAGTGCAGCTGTTTGTGTTGTAGAAAAAGGATCCCGCTCTGTCTGCTGTGCTGCTAATTAATCAGTTTTCACGGCACATAGCTCTTCTGAAAAAATCACGGTCAAATCAGTCTGGTATCAGTGGTGTAATCGGTGGTGTTGCTATGGAGCTTGTGCATATTTTTTTTTATTGGAAGGAAAAAAAAAATCAAGTGTCCCCTTCAATCTTGTTTCTCACTGGGGGTCGTGGCACAGAGCACTCCTTTGCCTAGCGATGAAAACAGTCTAGTTTCAGTGGTGTAACTGGTGGTGTTGCCACTGAGCCAGTGCTGCCCTGTTTGTTTTGTCTCAAAGAATAAATAAAGTGCCTATTCAGTCTTTCTGTGTTGTTACCTTAATAGTGTTCATGACGTCTGTCCTGTAAAAAGAGGATTTCCTCAGTGCAATTTAGTACGCAATTTTCAATTTTCATGGCTCACAAAAAAAGGAAAAAAAGGTTGTTGTTTTTTTTTCTTTTTTTTTAATAACATGAATCCAGGCTAATGTGACTGGTGTAACTGGTGGTGTTGCCAGCAACCCAGTGCAAGTTGGATTGTGTGTGGGCGGGGGGACATACCCCTGCCATCTTTGTCTGGCACATAGTCGCAAAAAAAAGCTTTCTACGTACATCATGTGTCAACAGTGTAACTCAGGGGTTCCCAAGCCCAGTCCTGGGGACCCCATGCTCTGTACATTTTTTGTTTTCCCTGCTCTACACACCTGAGTCAGCCAGGTCAGAATAGGAGGAGTGTGATAATTAGCTAATGAACTGAATCAAGAGATCATACCTGAGATTAGCAACCTCTGGTGTAACTAGTGGTGTTAACACTGAGCCCATGCAGCTCCGTTTGAGCCTGTGACTATTGCCATCTCTGCCATTTTGTTACTTCATTGGTTTTTGTGGTACAAAAAAAGAGGATCCTGCAAAAACAAGGATTTCTGACATGCGATCAAGCAATGAAATCTGTTGCCAGTAACCCATGCAGCTGTTTTCGGTTTGTCAAAAAATATGCTCCTTTAGACTTTATATTACCATGTCAGTTTTAATGGCACATAATGCTCTTGCAAAAAGCAGGAGGGTTTCCTATGTGCAGTCTAGCCATGAATTTAGTCTGGTGACAAAGGTGTTTTTGCAGCTCAGAGGTACATCTTTAACACTTACAGTAAGCTTGTGCTTTACCATTTGAAATTTTGCATGTGAAGTCTCACCATGTTATGGTGCAGGAGCCCTTACTATATACAGATTGGTCCTGCTAATGATGTGTTGGTTCAGTAAAATGGGCCTCATGAATGCTTTGGTTTGATGTTTTTATCTATTGTTACTCGAACAGACAGTAGATGATCTGAGCTTAGTAAGGTTAAGGCGATGTATCTTTTTGTACTAATAAGGAAAAACAAGGATTATAATATCAGGATTATGTTTGTATCATGTAGAAAATAGATGAGGGAGACTAAATTAGTGCCTAGAACATTAATACATGATGTTCAATTATCAGCTCAGTGCTTGATAAGACAAATACTAGCCCTGCATAGTTGTTATTGCTTGAGTAGCTAGTTTGTATATTAGACGCGTTTGACATTTTTTTTATGTTTGAAAAAGTCTGTCTATGTTACCAGGACAATGGCAAAAGCATATACACAGACACAAACTGTATCAATGGGCGTGTAATATGAATCCTGATATGTCATACCTTTTAAATGCAATCACTCTTAAAACAAACTTTTAATGCTTTTTTTTTGCAGAACTGTGCTAGTTGCATTCTTGTTGTGGTCTGTTAACTTGAGCCTTGAGGATCCCATAAGGAACGTGAATATGGCACTTGATCAATGTAAAGATTTCATTCTTATGAGCTGGTTTTGTAAATCTAGCTGTGAGCTTAAAGGTAATTTCCACCAGTTTTTCAAATTGAGAGCAGAATTAAATGATCAAGATGTAAACATTCACAGTGATTTGGTGTGAAATGCTCCTTTCTGGAGGACCTTACTGAGTCAGAGTTCAGAATTGTTCATTGTTCGTGGTGGTGACTGGAACCAGACGTCTGAAGAGTTCCCTCACAGAAAGCTATCACATGAAATTATTATGAATACACTGCCTGATGTCTTTGAGAAGATTTTGGCCTAAAACACATTTTTTTAAAAGCCATTTGTGGCAGAGAGGTACTTACGTTGTGTGTATATTAGCAAAATAGTTCGAGAGAAAATGTATTTTCATGTTTACCACTATTTTACCATCATCAACATTACATGCAAGAAGACACGTGTAGGTTCACTGGTCATTTTAGATAAGTAAAATTACTATATTTATGTTGCAAGCATCACAACCTCTGGTTCCCATCACCACCACTGTAAAGAAACTTTATCAGTGAAAGTCTCCTTTAAGTATTGTTAAACAGAAATCTCCAGTGCAGACCAGACCTTTGTCTCCAGTAGCCAGGCCTATGACATACTTAAAAAATAAATAATGTACACTAATCATAATGTTTTTATAGGGATATGACAATCATGAATTTTTATGGACGATTCTGATTTCTTTACAACCAAATTGGCCAATTTTTATTGGTCTTAATATGCTGTGTGGGCTAAATGAACACATGATACACACTCATACATTTCCAGTACTTTTAATTACCCAGAGTGATAGAAATAACAGTAGAAATAACCCAGAGTATTACCCAGAGTATTACCCAGAGTATTACCCAGAGTATTACCCAGAGTATTACCCAGAGTATTACCCAGAGTATTACCCAAATAACAGTAGAAATAACATTGTTTGCTCTGTTTGCTCTGTATTAAAAAAATAGTTGGCTATATAAATAATATCAATCAAATAAAGTGCTACATTGAAAGTAAGAGGCTACTGGCGATTTAGCTCAATGACTCCCACATAATTATGCTATGATGTTTTGCTGTAGGTGTGGCAGCGGATTTTGGTGCGAGTGCAAACTTCCTCACGTTGTTTACATCAGAAAATTCCAACTGGAACACAAGGCCAGAATAAAATAATGAACTGGCTGATTTATTGATTTTTTTTGTTTGGAGTGTTCTGTATTCTGTGTCTCATTCAAAACAGCAGTCCAGGCTGAAACACTCCCTAGAACTTCAGTGTGAAGCTAAATTGCTGTAGACCGAACAGGTGGATGTATGTAAATGTTGGTTCTTGTGACATCACAGAAACGGTTATTTCATGACGGGCTGTTTTTGCAGTATCCATGTATGGACTGGGGAGTGAATGGTATGTAATGAAACAACTGCTGGTTTCATTGCAAAGAGAGCATAGTCTGTCCTGTTTAATTAGTTTTAGTGCAGCACTGTATGAGAAACACTAAATCAAAATAACTGTCTTCATA